AAAGCAGAGTTTCGGAGCTCCCAAACACATGAGTTTGAGGCTATTAAAAAAATTATCCCTGTTGTTCAAGCTAAAGGTATTTACAGTCGCACCATTTGTCATGCGTCTAGATTACATGTATTCATCTCAATGTAACAGTAGTTTATTAACATATGCTGGTACATCTTTCAGGACTCAATGTGATAGAAGTGGCACATGACTTTGTGCCAAAAATAAAAAACTGGCTTTTACAGCAGAACATACAAAATTCATTTGACACTTGGCATGGTAAGAAATTAATTACCTGATAATTCAATTCCTATTGCAACATTAAGATCATGATTGTACTTATTTTTACAGGCACTAGTAACATATTTTCAGTGGATTTGAAAACAAGACAATACATGGTGTTTCATGGGATTTCAATTTCTTTAGAATTAAAATCATAAGCCTTGTCTTCCAGTGTATCAGTAATCTTACTTTATTTCGCCTAATATCTTGTTGCTTTTTAGGAACGAAGGGAGTGGCAAAGGCCATGAAGGAAATAAGTAGTGGTGCTCAGAAACGGGAAGGTGAAAAGTGGTATTCAGAGCTATCAGACAAGCGTACGTACTGCAATCTTTTTTTCCTAGTTAACAAATAGTATATTTAGGTACAACTCCACAGGGGTAGTCAGGTATATTGAGATGCATAACTGTTATTGAATTTGCCAATATTTTTAGAGGCCAGTGTTAAACGGCACTTCTACTACTCCATGAAGAATTGCACAAGTCCAGATGATCTGAGGAGGAGACTGCTCACAGTAGTTGATCACTATCAGGTATGGCACTCTCTACTACATCATCAGGTATGAAAAGGTCAAGAATACTGATTGATATCAATTATTGAAATGTAAGCAAGGATTTCTTAGAATAACAACTACTCCTAGTGTTGAAATAAATTTTTAAAAAATCTGAAATCTAGCCACTCATTATTGTAGGGCAACCATGGTAGATGTGATCCCGAGTCAAAGTGCAAGAAACCTGGATACCAGTGCAGCAAGACTAAAATTACAAATGCAAGAGCAGTGGCTGCTCTGCACAAATTTATTTTAGAATCAAAGGTGTACAAGCTTGCTGAGGACTACTATCTGGTATATTAGCAGCCATTGGTATTTCTTCTGTGTTTCGTAGTAAGCCTTTAGCTCATTATGCCAAAGAACTTGAACAATGAGCAAATAATTTCCAAGAAAGGTTTTGACAAATCACCACAAAGCTACTTTAACACTGAACCATTTCTATAATTGCAGTGTCGTGACACTTACTGGGTGGAGTCTTTCAACAACTGCATTCTCATCTACTGCCCAAAGAGAATTCACTTTGCTCACTGCACTTTCAACATGCGCATTCTCTGGCAGTAATGGATTGGGTAAGTCACAGACAGGTAGATTGGGAAGGTGCTTGCCTTTAATAATCTGCATACATACCAGGGTGATCTACCCACCTGCCCCCTCCCCACCAGTATACTCTATATACTCAATTTGCAGATAAAGTGACTTACTGTGTTTGTATGCCAATGGTAAATATCCCATGTTTCAGTTCATCAAATTTAACATGTATGGCTGATATTATGTACACTGTTATTGCTATTGTATCATTGCAGAATGAAAATGTTAACAGAGAAGCAACCTCAGTCAGTTTGTTGCAAGATGTGCGCCGACCGAATCGCAGAACAGGTCACAAAAATCTTCGCCCCAAAACATTTCTATTCAGGGAGGTTATTTGGAGTAGATTTTTCCAGTTGAACTACTGAGTATTGTGGAGCAAGAAGGATGACTAGCATGCAAGACCTGTTCCAAAAAGGCTCTTTTTTGAAAGAGCCACACACCTGCATTGCACTGCGCAGGGAAAAGTCCTGTAGGGTCATACTTACCTGGTATGACATTGCACCCTCCAGTTGATAATACCAATATGCAAGGTACCTGCATTGCACTCTGCAGGGAAAATCCTGTAGGGTAGTATCTACTTGGCATGACATTGTACTCTATGGGTCAAAAACCAAAGGCTCCTCTAGGAGCCACCAAGTTAAATAAAAGTCATGATCAACAGACTGCCATAAAGATTTACTCTGCTTGTTTATTACATTTTCAAAATTTATGTGAGCTATATGACTGGTTCAATCCCTATAGAGAACCTTTATTTCAAGGATACGGCAAATGAACTTTGCTTTACAGTACTGTATAACAATTTTCATCTAACCTGGATTGCATTTATCTGCTTCCCAAAACAATGTCAATAAGTCACATTTTAAAGTTAATTAACAGATAGACCCAGCACCACACAGCTTGAATATATCTTTCTGTACAAGTCTGTTTAGTACAGGTCTATAAACCATTCAAAGCTCCACAGTGTCACTAGACATATAGCAATAATACAAGGCTGGGGCAGCAGAGCATTTTGAAACATGGGGGGGGGGCCCTCATTGTTAATGTCTATGGTGTTCCATGTGTCCCTAATAGACTTACAACAATGCAGGAGGCATTTGTTTAGCCAATCCTGCTTCATGGTGCTTCTAAGGTAGGTTTTTGGTCTTCTTAGGGCAGAAAATGTGCACTTTGAAGTCAGTGATGCCACAGATAATTGTCAAATGCACTGTGGATCTTACACTGTGGATCTCTTCTAGAAGAGTTTTGGTGATGAGTTTTGTTGAGAGCTTTGCAAATGGTTCTTATAGTTGATGAAAATATTTTTAAAAAGATCACAAAACAAAATATTTTTTCAGACCATTTTTATGCTGCAGTATCAATATTTTTGGCACCTTAATGTGGGGAGAAGGGTGGCTACAACATCCCTCTCCCCCCCAGCTCCACACCCTATGCCAGGGATAAATGTAACATCACAAATAATGCTGATTTTCCATGACAAAACACAGTTGCTTGGAAAAGGTCTCCCTCCCTCCCCAACCCTCTCTATTCCACTTATACGTTTTATTTTGGCCCTCGCTTTACGCCCTTTTGTGCCCCATGTATGGCACACCCGGTGGGCTGGGATAGCGCTTCCTTGTGTCATCAAGGACACATTGGGGCATAAGTTCCTGAAGTTCAACTTCGCTCAGGCCAGCTGAGGTCTTCCTATGAAGATAAAGTTCGTGCTGCCACAAACCCCTGTCCTTTAGACTCTTCCAGAACTTACGATAATTTTTGTGGCGTTTTGAATGGTTCGTAATATCTGGAGCACATGATCCCTGTATCCTGGTTACCTCACTGACAGTGATACAGGGTCCCATCAGACAGTGTTGACAAGGTGGATGGTCTTCCAAACCACCTAGTACACTGTCGGCCCATGCATCCGCAACATTTCTATTAGGTTGCTCCTGATGTGGTGCAGCTCTGACCACAGCAGGATCTGCTGGTGTTGGGTGTGCTTGTGCAACCGTGTTTACTGGTTGTCTTGGCTCAGTTCCTAAAAACAAGGCAATTAATTTCAATGACAATCATGCTCAAAAAGAATGAAATCATACATAATTCACATAAAAGAAACGACTGGTTTCTTTAATTTGCAAAGACCTTCTAATAAAACATTAGGGAAACTGCTCAAACTACTATGACAAAAAAAGTGCCTAACCATAGATTCAACGCTAAATGGTAATACTTTAGCTTGACAAAATTTGGGAGGCACCAAACATAATTACGCTGCAACAAAGGTTAGAATGTTGCTCTATGAAACACAGCTGGATTATTGTTGGAATTGTACGACATCACATGCCAGCTATAACAACACAAAGTTGCGTGGTAAAAGTTGAACGAATCGGTGGGAACTCCGTCTATTGTTCAATGGAAGTGAAATGTAGCTCGCTGTGCACGTATAGTACAAGTAACTTCGTTTAGCCGATAATTCGGAAACAAAGAACGAAACAACAGGACATTTGCATTATAATAATACTAAGGGCGTACTACACAGCAAATAAGAGTTGCTATAAATTTACATTTATTACAATCATTTTATGAAACAAAACTCACCTGAATGCGAAGGCCGGGAAACGCGTCTATGGCTCACATATCGCTATTCCTGCGGTAATCGCGCGGACATCACAGGTTCAACCCTTGCCACTTCGCTCTCGGGCACCTCGATCAAAACCTGGCATTGCCACCATTTAACTTTATACAGCGGCCGAAAGGTTTATAAAACGAAACGCTAAAAATATACTTACTTGGACACGAATCATTTTCAGTCAAAGAAGATATTCAAACAAGGTTTAACGCTGCAGTTTTCGGCACAGTTCGTTGATCAAACGATCGAAGCTAACTTCACAATGTCTTCACGCACTCTTTCGTAGTTAGTTACTCATTACTTTCATCAAGGACCAATAGTAACAGTTTTTCTATCTGTATTCTTTATTTTGGCCAATAATAAAGTACAATATATCACGCTATGTCAATTTGTTCTCTCGCCGCGCGGGATAATTCAAAATCCACTCCGCCATGTTTCTTGGTTAATCGTCAACTAATAATAAAAATCTACCTTAGGAAGGATTCCTTATATAGCGACCCCCCGCGTTTAAGACACGACCACAGACAACTTTCTTGATAGTGATTTCATTACGTGTAAGCATCTCCCTCAATATTCT